GATCCTCTGGGGTGTAGAAGCTGCCTTTCCAGGAACCAGATGACCTACATCGATGTCAATACCTTAAGATAGTAATACTATGACAACCTTACACGTCCAGCAGCAATATTTGTTCTACTATCCTTAATTAACTGCATTTTCAATACCAGGTTTCCTTTAAAAAACAAAGCTCCTTTGTTGCATGCACATGTTGTGTTACACCCAGAGACCCTTGAGAAGCACAACCCTGCACCTGTAGTGGCATGGTTTGCCATGTTCGGAAAGATCTTCGTTTCTTTACAGGCATAGTCCACATTTGTGACCAGTTTTCATGTTAGAGTGATATAGATCAGCGGTCACTAAATGGCAGACCGCGGTCTGAGAACGGCCCCAGCAGCGATCCCTTCTGGACCGCCAGTCTGCAATGACAGAAATGCCACGGAGCAGGGCGGTCGTTACGGCAACCGATGACAACACGTGTGTGCCCCGCCCTTTGCAGCTCACTCTCTCTCCAGCTCCCACTCCCTGCCTGTACACAAGCATCCTTCAGCAAGGATCCCAGCACAGCCCGTCTGCCCTCAAGGTAGGGTGTGGTCTTACAGGGGCACATTTATTGTTAACGGGTCTTGCCGATGGGCACATTTAATGTTAAGGTGCATTCTGATGGGCACAACACAGAATGTGCCCATCAGAGTGTCCCTTAGCATAAAATGTACCCATCAGAGTGCCCCTTAATATAAATGCACCATCAGAGTGCCCCTTAACATAAAATAAGGGGCATGCTGGTGGGCACATTTTATATTAAGGGAAACTCTGATGGGCACATTTTATGTTAAGGGGCACAAATGGGTACATACTGTGGAAAGGGGCACTCTGATGGGCACATGTGATGGAAAGGGGCAGTCTGATGGGCACATGTGATGGAAAGGGGCAGTCTGATGGGCACATGATGGAAGGGGCAGTCTGATGGGCACATGATGGAAAGGGGCAGTCTGATGGGGAATATAATGTAAAGGGGCACTCTGATGGGGAAATATGATGGAAAGGGGTACTTTGAGTGTAAGGGGGCACTCTGACAGGAATACCTGATGTAATGTGGCACTGTGATGGGGATACCTGATGTAAAGGGGCACTCTGATGGGGGACAACTGATGTAAAGGGGCACTCTGATGGGGACAACTGATGTAAAGGAGCACTCTGATGGGCACATCTGATGTGATGGGAATACATGATTAAATGTTGCACTCTGATGGTGACACCTAATGTAAGGGCACACACTGATGGGCACACCCCATCTGGACCTCAGCCAGAAGAAAATTCTAGTGACTGGACCTCCTTGAATTTTAATTTAATACCCCTGATAAAGATCATGCCCCTAAACTCAAGACATCCCCCACCTTACCTGAATGTGCTTTTAACTGAAAGCAGTGGTTGTTTAAATTCAGCGCAGCTCTGCACTCACACAGCCATGCCACTCATTCAAGGAGATCTATCAATAGCATATAATACAAGTCCCATCTGCCACCATAGCAGATGTCACTGCAATTGGAGTTTGTCCAGAACTATTTTCCAGCATCATAACAGAAGTTCCGTACAGATCTGGGGTACACAATGCAAGAGCCTGTGCACTGCACTCGCAATGCTCCCCCCCCCCCTATTTATCATTGTTGGTGCATTTATTAGAGTCTTTTCAAAAGGTGGGAAAATGCCTTTAACCTGGTTTGTTGTTGAAACTTTGAGAATGGGACTTAGTGTGGGTAAGCGTTGCTTTCCTGTTTGTTTGTCTGTCAGGTAACATATCATCTAAGTTTTTCAGCATCGGTGCTTCTAGTCTGCAACTTTGGAACATGAAGCTACAGAGTGTATTCACTCAATCTGGCTGTGTACACAGAGCAGGAATATCTACATTTCTAGGCACCTCTAAGCCCCTGGGCAAGGTGGCTCAGGGAAATGTAGAACAGTCAGGATACTACAGTTGCCCCACAGACAGGCTTGCACCCACAGCACTCTCTATCCCTCATTGATAGAAACAGGCGGCTCATGCAACCTTGGAAGGAAAAAAAAAAAAAAAAAAAACCCCACAACCTTTTTTTTTAATTACATTTTGAATAGAGTGGAGAGGGAAGAACTGTCAGATTTTAGTGCTGTCTGTACCACTGTTAGGGAGATTCACATTCTCTATTTGACCTGTTATGGTTATCACAGGGAGTGAAAGAACATCCTAAATTTTTGTTTGCCACCAGAACTGGAACAGAGGGGAATTCCAGTTGGGACACTAGTTCCAGTGATCCTGCTGACAACCAGGGATTCTCTCACTTTGGAGTGATTCCTCACTTCCTGTTTTGCTTATGGGACAGGAAGTAAAATATCCCCCAATGGGACACAAATTGTAAAACATTTCACATGGCCAGTTTGGTGCGGCCTGCGGATTCTTGCTGTAGGAATGAATGGGTTATGCAATCAGCTTTGGTCGTAGGAATCTGGAGGCCACAACAAACCAGCTGTATGAAAGGGGCATAACTGTAGCAAGATGTGTAACAAGCAGATGACCTGTCAATGCATGACCAGTCTCTGTCCAGTGTTTGTAGGCACCTCTGCTACTAGCTCATTCCTGTTCTCTGGTTCCTCTGTAGTGGGCAGTACAGAATGGATTTCATGTAACCAAGAAGCTCTTAGCATGGAGGAATTCTGCTCATTTTGTGAAACATGTATAGGGCAGATACTAGAGAAGAAAAGTCACAAAATAAGGTTGATTTTTTTTTTTTTTTGTATTTACAAGCCCTGTCTGCGATTTTAATATGCATCTTGTATGTTTTGCAACCCAAGTACAAAGAAATTATAAATATTTGATTCCGAGTGCATTCATTTGTCCAACTATTAAACCCCTTTTAAGAGAGGAATGAGGAAAAAGTCCAGAGGCCTCCATCAGCTGACTAACATAACTAGAAATCATCTGAATTGTTTGTTGGTCGAGGGATCACTTTTCCCAGGTGTATGTTACCAAACATAACTGTTCCTGAATGGTCTGCTGTGACATAAACTCGGTATAGATTCTCAGTAACTGTAACAGTGACATTAAAATTCTCTATTTTAAACACTTCTTGTGCTTCTTTCAGTCTCTTAAACCCTCCTAGGTGTTGGACTAAATGCTTAGCCTTTACCTTGTAGAGATCAGGGAGTGAAAGTGGTTATGAAATTTAGCAAAAGACATTGGGCAGAGCTGACAGTTCACAAAATATTGTGTGTCGTCAACCCAACAGGGCTTAAGAGCAGAGTGCATTTTTGTCAGTTCAATATTTTTCTGTACTTAAAGGATCAATAAAAGGAAGAAACTCTGAGTAATGAGCATTTCAGAGGATGTACGGCAGATGTTTTTTTTTTGCCATGACATACACTTTAGGTACAGTCTCAGAAGACGCATCTTAGGTTGGTCAGTACTGCTAGTGTTGCCATTTCTTCACCCGTTATTTTATTCACAATGTAAGGCCAATTTTTGTCAATGATCTTTGAGCAGCACATGCAGCATATAGTTTATCTGCTAAACATTTACTAGAACTAAGGACATTTAAAGTGCATTTTCATTTCACAGAGGAAGGTACTCCTCAATATGGACTAGTTATTCTAAAAGTACCAGAACTAAAAGGGACATGTATGTATAGTAACTACATTTACTTTTCACCACAGCTCTGGGGAAGCCATAAACCAATCACTTGAACCATTATGGTGACCTTCTGTTTAGACCACAAAATGTCTCCTTTTAAAAGGTTTAGGGCAGATTGATTGTAAGGGTCAGTGAAATTTCACTTATGGGTGGACATTGGGGTGGCTGAAGTATCCATTCACCATTGGCAAATTTAGCACTTTGGAGCTTTCCATTCATGAACCCTCTACCTACCAGAAAATCTCAAACTTAATGCTGCTAAGTTTTCATAATGGCATGTTCAAAATGTGAAATGAAGAGTGTGTACCCTTCTAACACTGTATAAGATGGGTGCAACTAATAACAGGTGCTGCACTTTCTACAGCTGCAACATGCCAGGCATATTAATAGGTGTGCATGTGAGTCAGACCACCAGCATCTACCCAAAATTGAACATGGTAATAACTTAAGATTCCAAATATGGAATTACATTTTGGATATTGAAAATAATTTTAATTTGCTGACCTATGAAAATGTTTTTGTTTAAAAACCATCCTATGGAATCCCAACTATACTACTGGACCAAAGCCATAGGTAGAGTTTGCATACTTCTAACCTGCTCTGCCAACCAGTGTCCTTGTTTTCGCCATCTAAGCAATAATTGGCTGTACATGCTATTCTGACACATTACAATGTATGTGGCCATGTACACCTTGGCAAACCCAATAATGTTTATATTTATATATTAGACAACACATAAAAAAATATGAATATTGATTAAAAGCCCCCAATAAAAAATTTAAATCAGAGCACTTGTACTCACAGTGTACAAAGAAACACAGCCTCTGTATTCATTAAAGTAGGGTATTAAAGCTGCAGGGTGCTATCCTATCAAGCACCACAGTTGAGGCGGTGTGATGTATTGGTTAAGGATAGTGGAGGCGTGGCTCTCCAGCTGGGAAATATTGTTTTTATTTTTTCTGCTGGTAGTCATCATAGGACAGCACCTGACAGGGTCCCAAAGCCCTTGTGTTCATGAAAGTGAAAGAAAAAGAAGGTGCATTGTAAGTCAGTTTCTGAAGTTGCCTTCCATTCCACACACAGCACACTGATTGCACAGCTGAGACGTTTTTGGCACACACCAGTGTCTTACAAATAAAAAAGGACTTGTCAGGTATATCACTGGAGGTGACGTGTACATCCTATGAACGTTTCTCCTTATGGCACAGAATGCCTAAAAAGCTTCATATTTGAAGTTGGAGTGTAAATGTTTATTTTATCCAGTCACATCCAGGAGCCGAATGAATGCCAGAGAGCGAGAGGAGTCATCAGTCTGTATTTCAGGTGTATCTATGGCACATACATGACTCCAGTATCGTCTTCACAGTGATGTCTCATTGGCATGAGGTCTGGAGTTTTCCTCTTCTAGTAATGCTATTCTCTGCTTCAGCATCCGCACTTGGGTCTCATGTCTCTCCACCATGGCCATCATCTGTGACTCCAACTTCTTCAGCTTATTCTGATGCTTCTTCTTTGCCTTCTCATATGCTGCTACTAGGTTACTGATCAGAGAGGAAAATGAATTATTTTAATCATACAGTACAGAACACAGACTTTATATTCATAGATCTTGGGATTATATGCGGTTACCTTCAAGTGATTGGACACTGGCAAAGCTTTGCTGGACATACCCTCTCTATGTACTCCTGTAACACTACCCAACTGCATGGAACCTTATTATTTTGCTAGTGTCTTTAGGTGATGGACCTCTTCTATTTTTTACAGAGAAATCATTCTATGCTTAAAACCTAACTTCAGGTTTGCTTTTACATTAAATAGTTGGGTTTGGGCCAAGCTGGCCCAAACTAACCATTTCCCTTACTAATAGATGTGACCACTTTCAGCAGTGTATAAACAATATATAGCATTAGATACATATCATATACTGTACAGTGCTTTGTTCCACCAAGGGTACAGGAATGTTCCATCTGCTGCTGGAACAAAATCGAGTGAAGTGAAGAGTGTGGTGTTGTCCAACTGCCTCTCTACCTCAGTCAATCAGAGGAAGACTTGTATTCATTGATAAAATAGAAGGCTTCCTGGGAACGACTGAGCAGTGATGAGCCGACTCAATATTGTTCCAGCAGCAGATGGGAAGTCTGGTACTGCTGCCGGAACAAAGTGCTCCATGTATGTAGAGACAGTCTTTAGCTGTTTCTACATACAGTTTATACGTTGATAGCGGGTGCATCTATTAGTAAAGAAAAAAGTTTGGGTCAGCTTGGCCCAAACAAACTATTTAAAGTGACAAATAGTTCTATATAGGGGAATCAGGACCTAAGGTCATCGTTTAAACATTACAAAGAATATAACAGAACATAAAAAAAAGGAAATAAAGTCCACAAAAATTGAAAATGAACGACAGATTGCAAAAGATAGCAGGACCAACCCCCAAAAATTCTTCAAATATATTAATAGTAAAAAGGTCCAGTCCGAGCATGTAGGCCCTTTACAAAATAATCTAGAGTGGGTGACTGGGGACAAAGAGGCACATTTATTAAATAGCTTCTTCAGCTCTGTGTATGCAAAGGGGCATGGGGGAGCTCTTGTCTATAATGGGCATAGTAGTAACACAGCTCCAGATGATCCACATTGGCTCACTATTGTTATGATCCAAAAATATTTAGACAGAATAAAGGAGAATAAAGCACCTGGACCGGATGGCATACACCCACGGGCCCTTAAAGAATTGAGCTCTGTCATTTCAAAGCCATTGTTTCTAATTTTTAGGGACTCTTTAACCCCTTGACGCCGACGTAACACAAATATGCGGCCTCACGGACCTGGGCTTTTTTCCGTGGGGCCGCATATTTGCGTACCTGTCTTTGTGTTGGGAGCGCGCCCCTCAGCGCGCTCCCAGCACCGAGACCGCGGTGTCACTGAGAGCACCGGGTTCCGTTCTAACGATCGGGACCCGGGACTCCCGGTCCCGGGTCACATGATCGCTGTGATAGCCTCTGATTGGCTATCACAGTGATCAGTCACTGTGCAGCCCGGCCCCCTTGTTTTTTTTTTTCTCTCTCTCTCTCTATGAATGGAGAAGAGAGATACATTGTATCTCTCGAACTCCTGTCAGAGAGAAGAAAAAAAAAAGTTTGTAAAAAAAAAAAAAAAAAAAAGATAAATAAATAAATATTAAAAAAATAAAATAAAAAATAAAAAAAAATACCTAGATCAAGGTTGGATCTAGTTCAGTGCCAGGGTTAGTGTTTAGGTCAGGGTCAAGGTCAAAGGTCAGGGTCTTAGGTCAAAGGTCAGGATTTAAAAAAAAAAAATTGGTATCAGTGTCAGTTAGTGTTAATGTCAGTGTCAGTTAGTTTAGTGTGTTTTAGGTAAAAAAAAAAAAAAAAAAAAAAAAAAAAAGACAAAAACAAAATGCGCACTATGGTTTCTGGGCTGTACTACGGGTACAAACAACAAATAACATACACATATATGGTATCGCTGCGATCGTCAAGAGCTGGAGAATTTATTTTGGGTTGCTCTTTGGTGGTAGGTTATGGTCATAACAAGAAACACATAGCTAAATAAAAAAAAAAAAAGGATTTTTTTTACTATTTTTGGCCAGTTTTCCTTTGATAATAAAAAAAAATCAGGAGATATCCATTACCATTTACCACCAAATGAAAGCCCAATTTGTCCTGAAAAAAATCAAGGTATAACCCACCTGGATGTGCAAAGTAGTTGTAATGATATGTACGGTTTTGCTATCACATGTCAACGGTGCAGAATTGTGCTTAGGCATTTAGATTTGTTTTACCCTTAGGCGTGAAGGGGTTAATGACTGGCATAGTACCACTGGATTGGCGTAAGGCCAATGTGGTGCAAATATTTAAAAAAAGGTTCAAAATCTTTACCAAGTAATTACAGACCTGTTAGTTTAACTTCTATAGTTGGGAAGATACTGGAGAGTTTAATAAAAGACCACATGCATGGGTTCTTGCTGGAAAAAAATATTTTAAGCAACAGACAGCATGGATTCATGAAAGACAGAAGAAGTTGTCAAACAAATCTGATTTCTTTTTTATAAGGAGGTGAGCAGATCCTTGGACAGAGGGGTGGCAGGGAGGTGGTATACTTGGATTTTGCAAAATCGTTTGACACAGTTCCCCACACACGGCTAATGTGTAAAGTAAAGTCTACAGGCTTGGAAAAATCTGTATGTAAATGGATAGAAAACTGTCTAAAAGACCGAATTCAGAGAGTAGTGGTTGATGATATATACCCTGAATGGTCTAGGATTGTCGGTGGTGTACCCCAAGGTTCATTGTTGGGACCCTTACTTTTTAATATATATAAAACGATATAGGGTCTGGAATTATAAATACCATTTCAGTCTTTGCAGATGACTCCAAGCTGTGCAGTGGAATAACGTCCTTACAGGATGTCTTCGAATAAACTTACAAGCCGACCTCAATGCACTGTTTAATTGGGCAACTATGTGGCAAATGAGGTTTAATGTTGATAAATGTAAGGTTCTGCACTTGGGGGCTAAGAATATGCATGCATCATACATACTGGGGGAGTACAACTGGAGGAATCAATGGTGGAGAAGGATCTGGGAGTTCTGGTAGATCACAAGCTTAATAATGGCATGAAATGCCAAGCTGCGGTTTCTAAAGCGAGCAAAATCCTTTCTTGTATTAAAAGAGGTATAGACTCCAGAGAGAGAGATATCATGTTACCCCTGTACAAATCATTAGTAAGACCTCATCTGGAATATGCAGTTCAGTTTTGGGCACCAATTCAAATGGAACATTGGGGAACTGGAGAAAGTACAGAGAAGGGCAACCAAACTGATAAAAGGAATGGAGGAGATCAGCTATGAGGAAAGATTAGAGGAACTGAATTTATTCTCTCTTGAGAAGAGGAGATTAAGGGGGGATATGATCAACATGTATAAATACATCATTGGTTCATATAGTGAACTTGGTGTAGAGATTTTCACCCTGAGGTCATCACAGAGGACAAGGGGGCACTCTTCACGTCTGGAGGAAAATAAATTTAATCTCCAAACATGGAAAGGTTTCTTCACAGTAAGAGCTGTGAAAATGTGGAATAGACTCCCTCAAGATTTGGTTCTGGCCAGCTCAGTGGATTGCTTTAAAAAAGGCCTGGATTGTTTCCTAGATACACAGAATATAACTGGATATGAACATTTATAGGTAAAGTTGATCCAGGGAATATCCGATTGCCTCTCGGGGGATCAGGAAGGAATTTTTTTCCCCATGCAGGAGCAAATTGGCTCATGCTTTGCTGGGTTTTTTTGCCTCCCTCTGGATCAACTGTAGGTATGGGATTATAACTTTTTTTTTTCTAATGGTTGAACTGGATGGACTTTTGTATTTTTTCAGCCAGACTAAGTAACTAAGACATGACCTTAAACTAACTGGAGGAAAGTTCAAAGCTAATCTCAAAGTATCATTTTACTGTAAAAGTAGTTGATGCTTGGAATAGACTTCCAACAGAGGTAGAGAGCCAGTCAACAGTAAATATCTTCAAACATGCGTGGGACAAGCATAGATCAATACTCAAACGGGCCGACTCGATGGACCACTCGGTCTTTTTCTGCTGTCACTTTTCTATAAAAACCTGAAACTAGGCTTTAACCAGTTTATTATTTTACTTCAATCAACTCTAGAAGCAGCAGGATTCTACAAACTAAATACTATGATGTATGTGTCTGCTTTTCTAGACGTCAAACAGCAGGTGTTTTAATAGTATGCCTGGGGTCCTCCCTCAGGTACAGTATATGTGGGCGCTCGGGGCTGTACCTTAGCATGTAGCCCCCATTCTAATCATACAGATCTTAATCCAATTCTTTCTCAATGCATTTTGTTGTGTATGGCAGAATTTTGCTACAATACAATGAGGCTGGTTTATGAAAGGAATGGGGAATGTTCACACAAAATTTTGTAAAGATTCACTTTAGTTATCCAATCGAATGAAGAGAAAATTACTGTTCATCAATTATCCAATCATGTGCAGATGAAATAAGTAAATATTCCCACAATTTAAAGTGTGAACATTTTCAATTCCTCAATGTGTTCTTTTGTAAATGAAAAAAAAAAAAAAAAAAACTTTTTTGAAAACATACAGGTCTTACAAGTAATTTGTGATCTAATCTGAACCAAAACATTTCTATAATGTTGGAAACTGGTGGTAAAATATGACTGTGTTCAGTTTGTGAACACTCATCTTTGTGTCAGCACATTTCTTAATCGTACATTATGGGACTTAGGTTGAGTATTCAAGTACTTTGGGTTATACTGCTCCCTTTCAGAGATTGAATGCCTCTTTGCCCTTTGGTGAATACCTGAGCAACTTCATTAAAGGGACCTTTGGGAACATGTTACACCCATTTTTAGGATGGAACATGTAACATGTTCCCAATGCTGCAGCCACTGCCCATTGACATCCCACCCCCCCATGACAGAAGTATGGGGAGAAGTTCCCCATACTAGCTGTCCCTTTATAAAATCAGCGTGGCTGTGTGGGGCTC